GCATTACGTACCGATTGGATCTTTGTATATGGTATGTTATTAACACTTTCGAGTGTCAATAAAGTTGGACCACAGCAAAGAATAATGAAAGTGGGATCTATTAAGAACCAATCACATTTTCAATGGAATGTCTAGCCAGATTGATAGTCCGTATTATTTGACAGTTAAGAAATACTTAAATGTAAATTAAATTAAAAGTAAATGAAATTTGAACTCAGATCTAAAGAAATTTTTTATTACAAACTTTGAAAAATCTGTCGCATTCAGAGTGTTATAGGTACCAACATAGTGCGGTCGAAAATGTATGAATGATCTGAAAGCATGACCGGTATTCCGAAAGATTCTTTGTACCATGAGGTCTGTTTGTGTTCGATGCTACACCGTAAACGCTACAACTGGGAATGGGGTTCGAGTGAATACTGTTAATGCAATAAAAATGTAACCATAATTAAGCCTCTATTTTAGTTTGTTCTTTACAATTTCCAAACCTAGGAAAGTTTAAAATACGGTGTGTGTATTTGTGTGTGTGCGTGTGTGTGATTTGGATTTTTAACGTTGCTTTAACAACTTTTCAGTCATATCGCTATGATGTCTGCATTGTGGCAGTTTATAGTGATGTCTAGCATTGGGGCATCATGACGCATACTTGTAGCTTCATGTAATACCGAATCACATTATCACGACTCCAGGCCAACCAGTTCTAACACTAACAATGTTTTATCTGAAACGAATAATAAAACATTTGCTCCTATTTTAACTTCAACATTTGCAACATCTCCATATTATATTAAGGATAACGTTTGCTATGTTCGGCAAGATAGAAATGTACGTCGCAAACCGACATCGTGACGTCGTGGATATGCTGCAAAAACCGATGACAGTAACAGTGACGGTGAGATACTATAATGGGATTATTTGGATGGAATACATAATATCTTTTGTTGTTTTTTTTCTCCGAAAAATTTTATGAAACTCTGTTTCCTTCACAATAAATGCTAAATAAATGCTACATGGACTTTCCATTTAATGATAAAGCAGTTTGTTTTATCAGAAACTGACTGTCCTGTACACATTACATGCATGATTATAAAACGAAGAAAACCATTGGAACAAATTGCCTAAAATGTCTGGTTCAAAACGTATATGATGATTTCAATATTGCCGCCAAGTTTTGGCTTTGGACGAAAGGGCGATTTGAGAGAATTTATTGATTTCTATCTGCAAAATAAACATATTATATAGTACGTCTTGACTATTGCCGGTAAACAAATATATGTAAATTAGGGTATTATCATGTTGACAAGACCGCAGTTCCTTAATTAGTCTAGCTTGCTAATGCAGACGACAAACAGATCCACATTTACTGAGTCAATAGAAAGTAATGCGTTTCTTTTTTTCCTTATTTCCCTCATCGCATTTCAAAAGAAAGAACTTATTAGTCTGAGCATAATGCTGAGGAATTGATCACAAGATCGACAAGATGAATCAGGGAAAAAAAAGGAATCTGTTTTAACAGGAATCAGAGAGTTGGTGGTCAGAGATCAAGAGTTTTATCAAACGTCAAGTCCTGAATAATTCAATATTTATACATAACTAGTTTGATAACATCTATATGTTTACTTTGTTTTGCTGCAGAATCGACGAAAAATGACGGCTGATCATTTAAATAAATTACTGTTCGTTGAAATAACAAGTCTAAATCGGGCCATGAAAGATATATTAGACACAATATAAATAGCGTTTTCTCAAAACTATTTCACACGCGAAAATGGGTAAAACTATGACCCTTGAGCTTAGTGAAGTTCGGAATATTTCTAACTGTTGTATCCATGATGCATTGCGAATACATCAATTAATAACTCCAGTTCAGGGAGATGTTTTTAAACCATCCATTGTTGTGCGATTGACTCCACTAACTATCCAGTGGTGAGGAACATGTGAAACATTACAAGGTGCCAATTAGGCAATCGAACGGCATGGTTTATCTTCTGGCCATTACTTTATTGTATTCTTTAATTTGGATAGTTGCTTCTTTTGATCTAGTCCGCTATCACTTTGTACCTTCATGAAAATTGAAGAGTTTGAAAATCATCAGGCTTAAAAGTTTATTCTTTTTGTTATAATTACATTATGAAAGAACATAATGAAAAAAACGGGTTTCGTTGCCACTTAGAGTTTTCATGAGTTTACTATTGTATACCTTAGCCGTTCAGAAATGCTTTATTTATATTTGCTCACAGATGCACGAACAAAGCGCCAGCAGCACGGAAACCGTTTATCAAGAGTTATCTCATCGTGCATTTGACCATGTTTATCGTACTTATATCCCAAATGCTTTCGGTATCATCACAATACAGATGAGTCTTGTCAGGAAGCTGTCCATCTTTTGGAAGCAATCTTCAACTGCAAATGTCTGTAATATTATATCTAAGTTAAATAAGGCAATACCATTAGATAGACAGTATGTTCATATATTAAGATAACTTAAAGCTGAACAGAT